GCCCCCCCCCCCCCCCCCCCACGGTAGGTGGGAGCATTTGTCTTCGGTTTAATTGAAAAGCGCTTTCTGGTCGATGTTAAAAAGCAAACAAACTCGGAGTTGAATGCGTTTTGTTCGAGGCAGAGCTGTTCCAAAGCTGTTCCTCATACCCGATGTTTCTGAATTAGGAGTTCACATGATCACGAAATCTGCTGCTTTTGGTTCTCCACAAAGGTTTGTTGTGTGGGCTTCAAATAAGACGGCAGCTCACCCGCGGCACACGTCCGAACTGTTTGCTCAGCGTCCGCGCGCACCCGGAGCCCCACTTTCTCATCAGCCCGGACCGCGCGTGCCGTGCTGCAGCCATCTTCTTTTGTACTTTATTAAATCTCTGTCAATTATAAATATCAAGGTTTTACATTAATGTCAAGATAGTGCATCAAAAATTCATGGAATATGTGACTTTTTCCAAGGGTATTTAATACTTAATGCATTCGTGTCATTTTTCTTCCCAGAGATATTGACAGGTTTTATTAAGTGTTTGTTAGGGAGATTTCATTTTTATCAAGGGACTATAAAGAGAAGCTGCATGCTAAATCAATTTTTTAAAGGGAGAATATTGTTCCTTTCTTTCATCTCCGAACTCCTGTAATCCATAGGTTTTATTTAAATTTCCTCGTGGTTTATTTTTGTTTTATGTGAGTGATAGTTCCAGACAGAACTTTAATAAGGATCGAATATGCTGACGGTAGTGGTTTTTAATTTCCTTAAGCATAGCTACCAGACCCATGCAATATGGTAAATTCTTCAAAATGTCATACTTACATATTTAGCAATATTACTTCTTTTTATTGAAGCCAAACAAATGATTTTAGATATTAATCTTTCCCAAACACCGTGATTATTTTGTACTAGATACAATATTACTGAGCCTCATCTGGAATACCCCCTTTTGGCAGAAAAGGGAACGGAAGAGGACTTCACCGGGTTGCCTCTTGGCATAAAGAAACAAGAATCCTGTTTTCAAAGTAAGCTCTCGAGGGCCTTGAGTCTGATTGTGATCACAGCAACTGGTTATTTCTCCAGCTTCAAATATTTAGAATGCCTGAGAAGGTGAAAATACCAATCATTAAAAAAGTCTGCAGAAAATCTGGCTGGTTTCTCCTCCTGTCTTTTTGAGGGTGGGAGGTGGGCAGGGAGTCATCCTTTGGCTGGACCCCCGACTTGGCCTCTGTTGGGGGCCCCTGTGCCCCGGAGACCCTGTCAGGGTCATCTTTCTAACACCGCCCTCCTCACCGTCCCGTCCTGGGTGCATCTACCTGGCTGTGTCCGGGAAGCAAGTTACAGCTGAAACTGGCCACCAGGAGTAAGCTTTGTGTTTTACTCTCTGGCTTTTAAAATACAAGTTGGATCTGTCCTGATCAGCAAAACCGTTATCAGGTGTTGCTCTATAAGGTGAGGAGTGTTCAGTTATCCTTCCTTTAAAGGGTGACCTTAAAGACTTTTCATCTAAGAACATTTTAGGAACTTCAAAATAAATAGCTTCAGATTTGCGCTGTAATTTCCGGAGGTGTATTTTTAAGCCCTCACTTGGTCTTCAAAAGACTTCGGTGTTTGCAAGAAGAAAAGAATAATTCTGTCCAGAGCTCCAAGAGTGTTGGGAATATTTTTCTTGCTATTGCTCATTTTTTCAGGGTACGTGAAAACATTTTTTTCAAACTTAAGTGTTTTTTACGTGCAAATCATTTTCGATCTTTGAATGTTTCAAGATCCTCGTAACAGTATTACACAGCACTGAAGAAGTAGGGTAGGTTGTTTTAGAAACCAGGTATTGCTGGAGTCAAGCTGAAACCATAGTTCTTCTGGATAAGCCCAGTTTGGGTTTAGGGTAAGCTGCTGTGAAGACCTTCCCCACCCAGGGAAACAATTCAGGGACTCCGCGGCGCTAACCTGTTCTGCCATGACGCCAGTAGGTGGCGGTAGTGTCACAGTGGTGAGAGCCTGTTGAACTGCAAGTTGTTTGCCTTTCTCTATAGTGTCAAATTAAATTTTGCTTCAGTGTAACTGTTAAGTGCATGCGTTCTGTGGCAGAATAGCTTTTTATACCAGAATTACGTACAATTGGCACACCCTAATTTTTAAGCATATAAGAACAATGATTTCTAACAGACTCTACAAATATTATGTAAGCCTGCAGCCAAAATGATCATCAAAATTAATCTGAAGAAAGCAATTGTGTGTTTTTCCCCCTGAGTTGTCTTTACGACTTCATCAGGACTATGAGCATGAACTTCTGTTTTCGGTAAGAAAGGTACGTACAGAGGAGGAAGGGAGACATTCAGGAGAGTTAATTTTCCATCTGTCTGTCTGGTCCTCGAGGAGGACGTCTTGTTTGAATAAGGCTGCAGATTCGAAAGCTGTTTCAGGGTCTCGGAGTGCTGGAAGGTTCTTGCTCAAGTCGTTTTGACATTCAGCATTCCAGTTTTGAAAATTGTCATCTTTTCTCTCATTCAGTAAGTCAGACTTTCTTGGGAGGGCGGATCAAATTCCTAATACCTCTAGGATTTAGTGTTGGAATTTACAGCTTTCAAAATACCACCGTGCATTCCACAGTTTAAATGAATTAAAATATTTTAAAATAACAAAAACAGTAGTGCTTCCCACCTGCGTAGAGTTTGAGAAGCCCTGCACCTTCCTCTGCCCCCCGGGTCGGTCAGGGGGTTGGTTGGTCATTCCTTGTGAGGTTTCATTGTGTTGTAAGTGACAGAAATCCGGGGTGCCTCTCACGGGCACATGGGGTTGTGGAGGGGCCCTTTGCTCAGATTGTCCTGTTATAAGGAGAAACCCGAATAGCCTCACCGTTCAGTTTCATCATTGTAAATGTAAAGCAGCCTCAGGACTCTTGCAGCATAACTTTGCACCCCATTACAAAGAAGAGCCGGGCAGGAAGCTTCCCGACTCTGAGAGGCTCCCATCTTTCTTCACTAGGGTTGACCATGACCTTGGGGTTTTTTTGTTGTTTTTTTTTTAACAGAGATCAGAAATCCCGATCTGCCTCCAGCAGCCGGAAAATTCCTCTGGGCAACATGTGCTTTCACGTATCGACTTAAAATGCATCACCTTTAATTTTATTTTTGTTGCTACACCATTTCCAGATTCCACGAGTGTAATTTTCTGTTTTGACTTTTCTTCCAAAGGGTTAACGGCAGGGCTAAGGACACCAGGGGGAGGCAGGCACCTGGGAGCTAACGCCCAGTTGGCAGCCTTTTGTAATCTATAATTTGCCTAAAACTGCGCACGGAGCACAAGCTTTTGTTTTCTAATTGATTTACGGTTTGAGCCACTTCTACCTCATCCCCCACTGTCCTGCGCGCGGTGCCAGCGAGCACATTACAGTGAGCCATGATGAATGGCCGAGTGCTTGCCATGCTAATGCGTCAAGAGTAAAAACCGCACAGAGTACCAGTGCTGCGGAGACGCGGTCGGGGAGCGCCGGGCAAGCCGGCCGCCTCCCGGGCTGTAACTGACCCCGGAGATTTAAATGATCCCGTCTCGGCTCTTCGTTTCTTAACGGAGACAAAGTTTCTGCGTGCTCGCAGGGACCAAGGTGGCTGGTCATTGGGATGAGGGGATAGGAAATGTATAAAACGTCCTTGTAAGCAAGCGTGAAGCTGTGGATGTTTTCACCAAATGTTCTTTTGTCCAGGAGAAAAGGAGTCAGGTTTCAGTAGGCCGACTCTGTTTTATCTTTGTCTTGTTTGTAAAATTCAGAATTGCACGCAACTGTTTTTCTTGATTTTTCTGCACTTGAGCCGCGTTTACCACATCCATGATTCATCTGCACATAAGTTGATTTCCGTCCAAATGATTTAAGTCAGAGATAAATGAACCTTCAATTTATTAGAGTGCCTTTAATTGTTCTTTTTCTCCACGTAAGAAGAGATTTGATGCACTCATGAGGGGTGTGCCGCGTGTCAGGGGTAGAAGGGACCGAGGAAGGCCAGGACAGACGCCTACCTCCAGAGGCTCCCGGGTCCTGTTTGGGTCAAATACTCAAATGCCTGGGGGCGCCTGCCTCTTTGTGAAGTTGGTCCACCTTAAATTTCATTTTTGTGTGGTGTCTGTGGGTTCTAGTATCGAAATATGAGGAAGCAGATTTATGGCGGCTGCTGGGCACAACAAATTAAGTTGACAGTGATGTATGAGAGCATAATAGCACGATGATCCCCAGTAGCTCGGCTGGACGCCTCCTGCTTCATTTGGCTCTTGTTAGGATCTGTTAGGCAGCTAAATAATGAAATTCTGCTGACTGATTTCTGTTTTCCCTTTTTCTCTCTTCACCTCTGCTTTCTGAAACTTGTAATTCCCAGACCCACCCTCATGCCAACAAACTGCCCTTGAAGGATGCTTTCACTTACGAGGACTACAGGTCGGTTGGGGCGCGTGTGTGTGTGTTTTGGGGTGTGGCGGGGGGGTAGATGTGTGTGGTGTGTGTGTGTGCGCATCTTTGGTGTGTGTTGTGTACTGTGTATGGGCGGGGGTGTTTCCTAAGTGATCCAGGGATCTTGGAGGTGGGAAGTACTTAAGTAAGAAGTGACCTGCTGTGACCGGGTCAAGGTTCTAATGGGCAGCTGGGGTAGGATCGGCATTTTAATAACCACGCAGAAGTTGCCCTCGCCCTGGTGGGGGGTAGCCAAGGTAATATTGGAGACTAGCATTTAGTGTGGGGGGTCCTGAGGATTTAAATAGACTATTGTAGTATATGGAGACTTTTTTTTTTTAAATAAAAAGATTTAATTGTGCAATGTAATAAAAAATAGCATGCCGCATTTTGTCGACTTCTTAGGATTTCTGGTCAGAAAGGAGTTACGTTGTTTTGCCTCTCACTGAGGCTTAAGCTAGGTGCAGAGTCAGTATTGGGGGAAGAAGAGGGTGGTGTGGGCCTGGGGGGAGGGTCTCGGCCACAGTGAGGACCGGAGGCCTGGAGGTCTCTGCTCCCGGCCCTCCTTCCAGTCACCATCTCCTTGGAACATACCCTCCCCCCTACCCCAACACTCACCCCTGGATTTTTCTCTCTGTCCTTTTCCCTTCTAGTTCCCCGTCCCTCCCCTCAGCCTCAGATTTAATTTTGAGCAATGATGAAGGCCAGCATCACCTGCGGTAATACTCAGGAATTAGCTTTGAAGATTGGCGCGAAGTCTGACAAACCGTAGTTTCTGGTTGAGTTCTCACCGCACGGGGCAAGAAGTGGCCCTCCTGTAATCCGCCTCTTTTCTGCCGGTTACAGGTGGGCAGTCTCTTCTGTTATGACTCGACAAAACCAGATTCCCACAGAGGACGGTTCCCGGGTGACCCTGGCGCTGATTCCCTTATGGGACATGTGCAATCACACCAACGGCCTGGTAAGGACCCCGTGGGTGTTGTGTTTCGTGCGGGGGGGGGGGCGCGGGGGCGATAAGAGGAGGGAAGGAGCTTTAAAGTGGACGGTCCACCTACAAGCCAGCCCCGCTTCCTGCCTCCCTCCAAACAGAAGCGGCCGTGTCACCCCTCCGGCCTCCTGCAGATAGTAGCTGGTGTTTCTCTGTCTCTGCGTTTGCTTAATCCTGGAAACCAGGAACAAGAATCTTCCTCCACGTTCAGAAACCACAGTGAATTGCACTGATTTGCTAAGCCATAATTCCAGCCTAAACACTCATGTTCTTATCTTATTAAACCACAGACTAAACCAAGGTTTTTTTCTCCTTACTCTCCTTAAAATGCTGATTTATTGAAGGAAAAAAACAAAACTTTCTTCTCTCCGGTTTTTCCTTTTACGTTCCTTGTTTTCTTCCTTTGCTGATTACAGCCCCAGTTATGTGCCTGCTCTGATTCCTTCCTGTTCCCTCTCCCTTCGCCTGACACGCTGACGCATCCCTGGCCCACTTATTAACCTGCTTCTGTCCGGGAGAAGGGGCTGGTGTCCCTGGCGCTAGGGCGTTGGGCCCTTGGCCTTGAGTGTGGGGTTGGCATCATCAGGCATCAGAAGCCCCGGGTAGGAGACATTAAGAAAACAGGGAAATTTTATGATTGTTAATGGCAACTCATAAAAGGGGGAACCCTAGCAAGCTGGCTCCCTGTCCCTCCACCTTCTTCGTACCCCTGGCCACAGCCGAGGGACACGCTTTCTGTGCTGAGATAGTAGTCTAAGAAACGTTTCCTGATGTCAGGATACAGAACTATGATCAGCTTGAGAATATTTTTAATTTTTAAGCATTGTACCGGCACACTGGATTGGTTTTACCCTTTTGTTCATCTTTCCTCAACGTCTGCTTTCTTTGTGATTATCAGCGGTATTATAAGTAGGCTTAAAAGTGTCGTAAATGAGGATTGCACGTCTAGCTGCACAAAATGGCCAGAACACACACATAGCATGTGCCAGAGCCTTCATGATGCAGGGTCCAGCGCTGGTGTGGGAAGGCCTGACTGCAGGGGGTACCCTTAACTTGTAGAGAAAGAATGGTTTTACTCCTATCATTACTTTCTGCCTTAATTTAGATATGCTTAGTTGAATTAGCCATATTAGGAAACAGCATATTTTATTTATTTTCATTAATGAATAAAAGTTTTCATTCTTTTTCTGGGTGTTTTTTCCCCCTTCAGAGCTATTTTAAACTGATTATAAGAGTGAAGTTTTCAAAATTCTCAAAACGCTTTTTTTTGTTGTTTGGGTTTTTTTTTTTGTTTTGTTTTGTTTTTTTCTGAGAGAGAGAGAGAGACAGCGTGAGCCGGGGAGGGTCAGAGAGAGAGGGAGACACAGAATGTGAAGCAGGCTCCAGGCTGTGAGCGGTCAGCACAGAGCCTGATGCGGGGCTCGAACCCACGAACTGTGAGATCATGACCTGAGCCAAAGTCGGACACTTAACTGACTAGCCACCCAGGCACCCCTCAAAATGCTTTTAATATTTGATTATAGCATTTTCCTTTTTGTTTCACTGGGTTAGGTCATTAGTTTTCAGACCCGATTGACCATTAGAGTTTTTTTATTTCTAGAATTTGAAAAAGTACACACAGTATTGTAAGCAAACAAAACCCGTTAACCGGTGAGATGCCTCTACAGTGGTAAAATGTGCAGGTTCCCTTCCCTGCCAGCACCCAGCCCCGTCAGTGACCCTGGGGCCGCCAGTGTGCGAATCTCTCCCTCCATCCGGTACGGATTTGCACCCCTTCACACACTCACACGCATGAGTTTTTGTGTTGCTTTCATATAAATGAGATTAAGCTATTGACCATTTTTCCTCTCTAAGAGTAAAAATGAAATAAAAATAAAAAGCCAATTTATTTCAAGATAAAAATAAGGAGTCGATGACGACCACTAATGCTGTGTTTTCTCTAATGCAGTTCGTAAGGTCTGTGTCCTCCCTCAGAGCTGGCGAAACGGCTCTGTAGCCTTTAGCGGGTTTCTACGAGGTGGTGGCACTTTTTCTTAACGGTGGCTGTTTTCCGTGCGTTCCTCACTCCACACCTTGGCTGAACTGTTTTCGGTTGTGATTGTAAACAGACTTGAAGGGAAATTGTGTCTGGTAGAACGTGAGAATCTATTTTAACCCTGTGCAGTTTTGTATCCCGTGTATTACGGGTAATCTCTCTTTAAGAACAAGGTACCCAAAATTAAGGCTTTTGGCTTCTCAGACACTTGATTGTCGTGTGTGTGTGTGTGTGTGTGTGTGTGTGTGTGTCTATCCTGACGGTCGTCGTCTGTCTGTTCTGACGATCGCTGAGGGAGTAGGTAGACATTTGTAACCCAGCAACGTGGTGTGCTTCTGACAAGAACCTGGTGGTGGGAGCAGAGATGGGAGAGCCAGGCCTGTGGCAGCAATTTCCAGAGCGGTAGCGGCAGGGAGATGGGGGAGAAAAGGGAAGGCCGGCCGGGCCCCCAGGCCTGAGACGGTGGCAGATGTGAGCTGGTTGCCTGGCCACATGGAGACAGACTTAGATGAGTTCGTAGGGCATCGCATTCAGCTGTGAGGAATGCTGTAGGTCTGAATTCTGTGCGACTGGTCAGAACTAATGTGGGCAGCGATGTTCCTTTCCGAGGTCATTCAGTGTGTGCAGAGGGCCCTGACGAGCGGTTTGTCCATTCCGGTGGGTAAAGCATGTTGGAACAAGCAGCGCTTGTATTTGAGTGTGCACCTCTCCTGCTCAGCCTAGAAGGGCCTTGGGAAGTTCAAGCAGAAGTGAGAGAGGCTCTTTCCCAAGGCCCGTTTGAGTACTGAAACATCTAAAACATTTAGATTTATACAAGGCTTTTTTCTAGCCTCAAAGTGAAAGCCCAGGTTTTTATAAGTAGCAGACAAGGCTCCGCGCTCAACCTGCCCCCATTCCACTCCCACCACACACAGGTCTGGGCCCCTGTGCTTCCTCAGACACCTGCACACGCCCACCTCAGGGCCTTTGCACGGGCTCTTCCTGCTGCCTGAAAACGAATTCCTCCGATGTCTACAAGACCGCTCACAGCCTTCCTCAAGGAAGGCGGCCCGGGGTCCCCTGTGTGACATCACTGCGTCTCCCCTTCTGTGAGCCTCCCCTCCTGACTTCCATGTTTCTACCTGTTTATTTTTGTTTCTTGTTGGCCCTTCCCTGGCCCTCCTGCGTCCCTGACTTCCCTCCGGCTGCGTGATGCTCCTGCCAGGTCCCTGTGCAAACATACTGTGGAGCCGCAGACTTTCAGGGCTGGAGGTCATGGGCAGTTTCTATGCCGTGCTTATCAGAATTGCATGTGAGGTCCGAGCAGAGATTTTGACACTGGGCAGGAACCTCACAGAGCTGATCTTATCAACCGTAGAAACTGTTCTTTGAGTGAAAATGTGCCAGATTCCTGGCTGCATTCATTTCTTGTTTCTTTCGTGTTTCTGTCGGACTTTGCAGAGTGGCAGTATGATCCAGTTAATAAACCATTGGTTCTGGGGGTCCTGGGCTGAAAGATTGTCGTCACGTGGCCCTCTGTCCTAAGCATGTCATTCTCTAGAATCAGAAGTCATTTTTTGGATCCATGCTATTGATGCCTTTTTTAGTAAGTAGCACTTGTAGTGGTCTTGAATTTTGATTGTCCAGGACAAAATGAGGAGGTCAAAGGAATTAATGAATAATTACAGACCAGCTAAGAGATTGGGGGGCTGCTCTGAGGGACAGACTTCAGATAAGGAGCTTTTCATATAAATTGGGGCCCCTGTTCCTTATCCCGGTGGCTCAGGCACCAAGTCAGCCCTGTCAGAGACAGCGTCACGTGCTAGGTACGGGGGGTACAGGGTGCTTAGCTCTGGGGACACGGGTAAGGTGGGAGCTCCCAGACGGGGAGTGGGTATTGGATAGGAGGGTGACAGTCCAGGGGCTCTGGGAGTGCAGGGGCTTGGGGAGGATGAGGGGAGGCGTCCCCAAAGAAGCCAGGGCTCAGGCAAAACAGGAGCAAAAGGTAGTTGCAGACACGCAGGAGCTGGCGTGGTGGCCAGGTGTGGCAGGTCAGGAGCAGGTCAGGAAGCCCGAGGAGGCCCTGGTTGAAAATTTGGATTTCTGCCCGTAGGTGGGTAGGAGGGCCACCAGAAGGTTTTAGACAGGAGGTCAGCACTGTAGTATCACTAGGGATGGGGAGGGACAGGGCTGGGACTTGAAGCCACAGCTGCCGACTGTAAGGACCTCGGCCCTTCCGGGGAGCGATGAGGAAGGCGAGGACCCGAGGCTAATTCAGGAGGTCCAGTGCTGGCCCACAGGGCACCAGGAGCATCTTCGTGGCCTGTGTGCCAGGATGTGAGTGGCCTGGGCCCCCAGGACAGGACACGCCAGGGGAGATGTGGGTTTCTGGCTTAGGGAGCGGGTTTGGGGTGCTTACCTGTAATGCCCTTAGAGATGCTTACCATGCAGTGCTCAGCAGAAAGGTAGACCACAGCTACTTATTTTATTTTCCCTTTGCTTATGTGAAAGTCTTTTTTTTTTTTTTTAATGTTTTATTTCTAGGAGAGAGAGAGAGACAGCGTGAGCAGGGGAGGGTCAGAGAGAGAGGGAGTCACAGACTAAAACAGGCTCCAGGCTCTGAGCTGGCAGCACAGAGCCCGACGCGGGGCTTGAACCCACGAACCGCGAGATCATGACCTGAGTGAAAGTTGGACGCTTAACCGACTGAGCCCCCCAGGCGCCCCTGCTTATGTGAAAGTCTTAATTTTGCTAATTTCAGAGTAAAATACGTACATAGTTTAGAAACAGGCTTTTCCTTTTCCCTGTTTGTTTACCCGATGGAAGAAACACTTCAGACTCTTAGTGGCCGGCGGGGGGGTAGGGGGGAGACCCAGTATTTGGCGTCAGCTCGCGTTCTCCAGGAGACCCTGCTTCCGTCCGCGGGGCCCGCTTTGGGCTAAATGGGGGTGCCTGCTGAGGCCAGTAAGGGACGCTCAGGGCGCTGTGTGCTCCCTCACCTCAGGTGCGGAATCCTGTGTGAGAACTTCCCGTGTAAATAGAACTAATTAGAATAACCAAGCAGTTCTTTGTCAGTTTTGTAGCGCGTGCAGCGGGCGCCCCTCGGCCCCTCCGGCTGTCTTACCCCCTGACTGCCAGACCAGAGCCGTGGGGGCCCAGCCCTCGCGCTCACGGTCGCCCCTCCGTCCCGCCTAGATCACCACCGGCTACAACCTGGAGGACGACCGGTGTGAGTGTGTGGCCCTGCAGGACTTCCGGGCCGGAGAGCAGGTGGGCCGCGCTGGCGCACTGGCCGGGGGCGGGCGCGGGGCCGCGGGCGGCAGCGCTGCTACCTTGTAAAGGGGGCAGATTAGGGACTGGTATGCAGGACTTTCTGGGGGGTACGTCTCGGGCCAAAAGCCTTAAGAAGCGTGCTGTGCTTTGGGTCCACGGAGTTAAATGTCCAAAGAGTTAAATGCATCTGTTTGCACAGTTGACCTGATATTTGTAATTTATTTAAGTGGCGAAACCCAGCGAATTGGGCACCGTAGATCTTTCCACTTTAACCTGCAGATTTTGTCTCATAATTTGGGTGGGGCGCAGGGTAAGCCTTTCAGTAAGTTTGACAGTACGCATCTCTGAATACCTGCTTTCCACCCCTCGGTGTCATGACCAAGCAGTTAACCGCAAAAGGCAGAACTGGCGTTGACCCTTGATGTCCCAGCCGAGACAAAATGAACAGTATTAGTCTAACAAAGCACTGATGGGCCCTTCCCGCAGAAGAGTTAGACCCCCTCTGCCAGGTGCAGAATCGCCCCAGGAGCTGGAAATTAGCCCAAAACTCTTGTTCCAGAAGAGACTCTTGTGGTGGAAGGAGGGGGGACCGTGGCGCACTGTCAAGTGCTGGTCTCTCCGTCCCGGGGCCTGTCTGTGAGCCAGGCAGGCACACACAGTGGCGGGAGTCGACGCCCTTCCTGGCCCATCTCCACCGGGTTGGGGACCGGGGACCTGCACGCTGGGCTGGGGCCGTGGGAGAGGCGTGTGCTCATGTGAGGGCTGTGTGTGTGTGTGTGTGTGTGTGTGTGTGTGTGTGTGTGAAGCCCTGTTAAACGTGTGAGAACCAATCCTTTGCCCTGCTCTGTATTGAGAATGATGTTAAATTTCTTTTATGTCCCTTTATTTTTTTCTTTACTGCATCTCAGATTTACATTTTTTATGGCACTCGGTCAAATGCAGAGTTTGTGATCCACAGTGGTTTTTTCTTTGACAATAATTCACACGACAGAGTGAAAATAAAGCTGGGAGTGAGTAAGAGTGACCGGCTGTACGCCATGAAGGCCGAGGTCCTGGCCCGCGCCGGCATCCCCACGTACGTACCGAGCCGCCCGGCTCCCCCCTGCACTCCTGGAGCCGCTTGCGCTTGCGTGTGTTTAGTTGACATGTTAGTAAAACCCCTCCGGCGCGGTTAGTCTTCATGTCTTCACCCCACTGCACAGCGGCTTAAACCGAGGCTCAGGGAGACTTGCCGGCATCTTCAGATGATCGTCAGTGTCGTTGGGAGCCCTCGCAGCCCGCTCCCGGGGACACGGCCTGAGCTCCTCATTAAGTTAAATAAATACTGTGGGTCATTAGTGTCTCTCACCTTGAAAAGGTTAATGACCCAGATCAATTTGTTTCATTTAATTCTTTGCCACCATTAGTTTCTGTAATGAAGTCATGCTCCCCAATGATTTCAAGAATTTCCGGTTAAATTCTTGAAGATTTTCTTGCATTTGAGGTGCAAAATGATAAAGAAGATGAGAATTATGATTTATTAGTTCTCCTGGGACTGGAGGAACCGTTCTTAATGAAAATGGATTATCCAGACCTTTTTTTATTGAACTTGTCAATATTTGATTAATGATTAAAATGTGAACTCAACATAAATTATTGTTAACATTTTTTACGAACCGTGGGCACACTTACTTCTCTTCGTTGTCATCTGCACCCTGAGACTAAGGCCGTTAGAAACTGCCGATAGCTGGCAGGGGTGGTGGCCGCCGGCCCCCGAGAGAGAAGCCCTACCTTCTTCTGCACTTTTGCAGACACAGAAAGCAGTATTTTCGCCATTCAGGGGAGGGGTCGGGATGAGTCAGCGCCCCCTGAGGGCGGCTGACCTGGAAGAGTATAGCGTGAAGGGCTCCCACGGGCTGAGAGCAGGCGCCCAGGCAGGGCGACTAACGCTTCTGCCTTTGTCAGTTCCAGTGTGTTTGCGCTGCATTTCACCGAGCCGCCCGTCTCTGCCCAGCTCCTGGCTTTCCTCCGCGTATTCTGCATGACTGAAGGTAAATCATTTCAGGAGAAAAAAAAATGTTGACTTTTTAAAAAATGCATAAAGTGTAAAGCGTAGTGATTCAGATTCAAGATAAAATTGTTTATAACTAGAGCACTTTCTCGGGGGAGGGGAGATGGCAATATCGGAGAAAGAAGTTGATCGGTTTTACCCTGGAAATGTTTTATTAAGTCCTTGATGTGTTGTCAATATTCATTTGTAATAAACAACTAATTCTCTCCTGGCATTGGAAGAAAAAGCATCTGGGATCGTCTGACTACATCAGAATTCTGTGTGTGTGGAGGGGGCTGTTTGATGGGCTCATTCCCCAGACAGCCGTATTCCCTGCCCAGCGTACGGCGCTGGGAGGCCCTCTGAGGTCATGTGGTCAGCGTGGCCCCCTCGGCCGGCCGACTCTGCCTTCCAGATCTGAATTTGCTGGAAGGCTTCGTAATGTCAGGGCTCCTGTTACATGAACGCTGCGGACCAACTCAACATTCCGGTCCACAGCCTCTGACTTCAGGCACAGAAAGAGTTACATGTATGTATTCAGCATCTACTCGTATGTTTGCTTCCGAGAAGACATTTGGCGTTTCTTATTCTGACTGACTGCGCTTGCGTTTTTGTGTTTTATGTGAAAACGTATCCCCCACTCAATACGCCCAATCCCGTGGTCCCAGGGCTTTGGTTTTCTTTTTTTTGTTTTTAAATTCCAATTAGTTAACCAGCAGTTTAATACTAGTTTCAGGAGTAGAATTTAGTGATTCATTACTTACATACAACACCTAGTGCTCATGCCAGCAAGTGCCCTCCTCAGTGCCCATCCCCCCTTTTGCCCCTCCCCCAACCCACCACCACCTCCAGCAACTGTGTTTGTCTCTTTAAGAATCTGTTTTCTGGGGCTCCCACACACTTTCCCCTCTTTGTATTGTTAAATTCCACATATGAGTGAGATCATAGGGTATTTGTCTTTCTCTGACTGACTTATTTCACTTAGCGTAATACATTCTTGTTCCATCCACATTGCAAATGCCAGGACTTCATTCTCTCTTATAGCCAAGTAATATCCTGTTATATATATGCACCGCATCTTTATCCATTCATTGGTCGATGGGCTCTTGGGCTGTTTCCATAATTTGCCTGTTGTTGATAGTGCTGCTGTAAACATCGGTGTGCATGTATCCCTATGGATTCTTTTTTTTTTTTTAATTTTTTTAATGTTTATTTTTGAGAGAGAGAGAGAGTGTGTGTGTGTGTGCGCGCGCACGTGCGCGCATACACGCGCACGGGAGAGGGGCAGAAAGAGAGGGAGAGAGAGAATCCTAAGCAGGCTCCATGCACAGTGCAGAGCCCGACATGGGGCTTGAACTCACAACTGACTGTAAGACCATGGCCTGAGCCAAAATCAAGAATTGGACGGTTAGCTGACTGAGCTATCCAAGCGCCCCTGTACTTTTGTATTCTTTGGGTAACTACCTAGCAGTGCGATTGCCGGATCATACGGTGCTTCTATTTTTCCTTTCTTGAGGAACCTCTCTACTGGTCTCCAGAGTGGCTGTACCAGTGTGCATTCCCACCAACAGTGCATGAGAATTCCCCTTTCCCTGAAGCCTCACTGACACCTGCTGTTTCCTGTGTTGTTGATTTTAGCCATTCTGACAGCTGTGGGGTGATATCTTCTTGTAGTTTTGATATGTATTTCCCCACTGATGAGTGATATTGAAGAACTTTTCACGTGTTTGTTGGTCATCTGGATGTCTCCTTTGGAGAAATGTCTGTTCATGTCCTCTACCCATTTTTTTTAATTAGATCCTTCACTTTTGGGGTGTTGTGTTTTTTTAAGTTCTTTGTATATTTTGGATACTGACCTTTATCAGATATGTTGTTTGCAAACACCTTCCCCCATCCCGTAGGTTGCTTTTTAGTTTTGTTATTTCCTTTGCTGTCCAGAAGCTTTTTATTTTTACATATTTTTTAATGTTTTATTTATTTCTGAGAGAGAGAGAGAAAGCATGAGCAGGGGAGGATCAGAGAGAGAGGGAGATACAAAATCTGAAACAGGCTCCAGGCTCTGAGCTGGCAGTCAGCACAGAGCCCGACGCGGGGCTCGAACCCACGAACCGTGAGATTATGACCTGAGCTTAAGTTGGATGCTTAACCGACTGAGCCATCCAAGCGCCCCCAGAAGCTTTTTATTTTTATGAAGTCTCAATAGTTTATCTTTGCTTTTATTTCCCTGGCCTCAGACGTATCTAGTAAGAAGCTGCCATGGTCAATGTCAAAGAGGTTACTACCTGGGTTCGCTCAGATTCAGGTATCCGAGTTAGGTCTTTCATCCGTTTTGAATCTATTGTGTGTGTGTGGTGTAACAAAGTGGTCCAAATTGATTCTTTGGCATGTTGCTGTCCAGTTTTCCCAACACCATTGGTTGAAGAGACTGTCTTTTTCCCATTGGATATTCTTTCCTGCTTTGTCAAAGACTAATTGATCATATAGTTGTGGATTCATTTCTGGGTTTTCTGTTCCGTGGATCCATGTGTCTATATTTGTCCGAGAACCATACTGTTTTGATCACTACAGCTTTGTAATATAACTTAAAGTCCAGAATTGTGATGCTTACAGCTTTGTTTTTCTTTTTCAAGATTACTTTGGCTATTTGGGGTCTTATGTGTTTCGTACAAGATGTAGGATTGTTTGTTCTAGTTCTGTTAAAAAATGCTGTTGGTATTTTGATAGAGATGTGTTAAATGTGTGGATGGCTTTGGGTAAGATGGACATTTTAACGATATTTAATCTTTCATTCCGTGAGCATGGAATGTTTTTCCACTTCTTTGTGTCATTTTCAGTTTCTTTCATCAGTGTTTTAGTTTTCAGAGTACAGGCCTTTCACCTCTTTGGTTAGGTTTATTCCTGAGTGTCTTATTGTTTTTGCTGTATCTGTAAATAGGATGGATCCCTCAATTTCTCACTGTGCTGCTTCATTATTGGCATCTCGAAAGCCATCCCATTTCTGTATGTTGATTTTGGATCCTGCAACATAACTGAATTCGTGTATCTGTTCGAACAGTTTTTTAGTGGAGTCTTTCGGTTTTTCTATATGTAGTATCATGTCGTCTGAAAGTAATGAAATTTTGTTTTACTTCTTTGCTGATTTGGATGCCTTTTATTTCTGTTTGTTGTCTGATTGCTGAGGCTGGCCCTTCTATCCTCTGTGAAATAGCAGTGGCAAGAGTGGACACCCCTGTCATCTTCCCTGACTGGAGAGGAAAAGATCTCAGTTTTTCCCCGTTGAGGATAACATTGGCTGTGGGTTTTTCATATATGGACTTTATTGTGTTCCTCTAAACCTACTTTGTTGAGGGTTTTTTTTTTTTTAATCATGAATGGACGTTGCACTTTGTCAGTGTTTTTTCTGCATCTGTTGAGAGGATCATGTGGTTCTCCTTTCTTCTGTTACTGTGGTACCTCACGTTGATGGATTTGCAAATAGGGATCTGCCCCTGCGGCCCAGGAATAAGACCCGCTTGCTTGATCGCCGTGAATGTTTCTTTTAGAGCATTGTTGGGTTCGGTTTGCTAGTATTTTATGAAGAATTTTTGCATCCAGTTCATTGGGGACATTGGCCTGTAGTTCTTTTTTTTGTGTGGTGTCTTTATCTGGTTTTGGTATCAGTACTGCCTCATAGAATGAATTTGGAAGTTTTCCTTCTTATTGTATTTTTTGAATAGTTTGAGAAGAACAGGTATTAACTCTTCATTACATGTTCGGTAGAATTCGCCTGGGAAGCCATCTGGCCCTGGACTCTTGTTTGTTGTGAGACTTTTGATGACGGATTCAGTTTCTTTGCTGGTTACGGGTCTGTTCAAGTTTTCTATTTTTCTCTGTTTTAGTTTCGCTCATTTATATGTTTCTAGGAATCTATCCGTTTCTTTCAAATTGTCCAATTTGTTGGCATATGGCTTTTCATAATAGTCTCTTAAGATTGTATTTCTCTTAAGGTGTTGGCTTGTTACTTTTTCTCTCTTATTTGTGATTTCACTTACTTGGCTCCTTTTATTTTAGTTAAGTCTGGCTAGTGGTTGATCAATTTTATTTGTTTTTTCAAACAACCAGCTTCTGGTTTCATTGATCTGTTCTTTGTTTTTTAGTTTCTATATCATTTATTTTTGTTCTCCTCTTTATTATTTCCTTCCCTGAAGTTTCACTTGTAAGTGTGTGTGTGTGTGTGTGTGTGTGTGTTTGCTGTTGTAAACGACCTCAAATCCTGTGCAGAATGGAGTGGGTAGGAAGGAGTGAGTGAGGTAGCCCCTGACTCAGTGGACAGGTAAGGCTTCCTCTGACGGCAGCTGCCCAGGCGTAGGGAGAGGGCAGTGTGGTCTGCAGGGGTGAACTGTGGCCCGTGGTGAGGAGTCGGCTGCGCCCTGCTGTCCTCGCCCCCCCCCCCCCTTCACTGGATGCCCGGTCCAGGCTTTGATGTCAGGACAGACGTAGAAGTCCCCCATGTCCCAAACAGGCGATTTCGACCTCCAGCCACAGAACCCGAGGTGGGGGGAGATGGCGCTTGTCCCTCAGAAGCGGCCGTGTTACTACAGGCCGCCTGCCTCTCAGGCTTCCAGCACCTCTGGTGGTGGCTCCTCTCCTCAGTCAGCTTAGGGAACACGACTGAAGGCTTCCCGTGGGCCTGTCCCGTGTACACTATGAGGGATAACGTTCAGGGCCACAGTTCATATCCCAAAGAGATTGATAACTAAGAGAAATGGCAGCGATGCTGGTCCGTGTAACTTGTGAGCACCTGCTCTATGCCAGGTGCCACGCCGCACATGGGCAGACGTTCTGTTCATTCTCATCGCGCTGGACTGACGTGGAAGCTCTGGTTGGAAGGGGATGAGTGACGGGGTCCTGAGCTGGCAGTGAAGGCCCGAGTGGGGACCGGCTGCGCCCACGGCAGGGCCTGTGCCCCGGGCGTCCCGCCGGCTCCCGCTGGTTTGCAGAGGACACAGTCCGTGGAAGAGGTGCTAGTCGTCCAGGGGTCTGGAGCAACCCGCAGTTGACACGGAGCCAGGCTGAGGCCACCGGTCACTGTCAGGGGTGACCTAACGTGCACTCCTGGGGCGGGGTGGGCACACAGAGGCTCTGTCGGAGCTTTGTTAGCTGCACGGAAGCAGGGGAGGGACCTACTCGGAAGCCTCTGGTCGCACGGTGATGCTGCCCTAAGTCCCTCATGTGGGTCCTGTCTCCAGCAGCCTCCAGTTTCCCTGCTAAAAGCAGAGGGAGAAGGCTCTGCTTCTGCCCCTCAGCCTGCCAGGCCGAGGGCAGAACGTGGAGTTGAGGAAGAACTCAGAACCAGTGACTCGAGCGCTGGGAAGCTTCTAGAAAGGAACCTCGACCCCCAGGGACGCGTGTTGTAAATGGTCAGCGCTTGACCCAAAGAATATAAACTGAAGCATCTGAAATCGAAAAATCTGAATTTTTTCATGTTCTTCTGCTAACAAATGCAACTTTATAAATTTCTTCTTTGAATGTTAGATTAACTTCTATTTTCTTTTAAAAAAACAAACTTCTTGAATCATTTTAGGCCCGATGATTCTCTGTAGTTTCTCTTTAGTCACAGAAAGACAATTTGTCATGTCAAGACAATTGATATATTATCCTTTGAATTCCTCTAACTAATACTAATAAAAGTTTGGTTTGCTGGCAGCAGAAGTTCTTCAATTTGAATTGTAAATAGTGACAGCTGTGGGGCATTTTGCTCTGAAAGAGATACTGTCTCATAATTACATAAGAAGTGCGGGGATATTTCTCGAGCATGAATAGGATCGGCATGTTTGGGTCTTTTGAAGATAATGTGCCAGGAGATGAAATGCTCAGAGCAGTTGCTGAATTCTTCCCTCTTCTTAAATATATTTGAAGGTAATTGAGATGTTCACTTGTGTTTATTTGTACTTTCTATTTAAATTCCTGACAAGTGAGGGATCTAGGCACATTTTTCATTCACTAAGGTTTGTACGGTCCACTTCCTCCTTTCTTTCAGCTTGGGGCTTGTGTGCTAGGAGGGAAAGAGCGTTGTCAGGTCAGCTACTGGCGTGGGTGCCAATCTGACCGACATGGAGAAGGGTCACTGGACTGTTGTCCTGTTTACCTCGGTTTTGCTATTTACATTGTTCCCCTAAATGTCGTTGTGACCCCATCAGTGCGACCGAGCTTTGCCAGGAGGGTATCGTCCGCATAAGGGCCGTTTCCCAAGGGTTTGTCCTTAAAGTGTGTCTCATGAAACTATGTAAAGGCTCTCTGCGTCCCTCCTAAAAGCGAGCGATGGAGTGCCGTGCCCAGGCTTGGGGGGTGGGGAGGTCCGGATCAGGCGGACCCTCCCACCCCACCCGAATCTAGCCCTGACTCCCTCTGGGGAGCCTAGAACGGCCTGGGCCCTCCATCAGGGAGAGCCTTCAGCCACAGGGGGACCGTGTCATGGGGGAAGAGATTTTCCAAGGTGGGCTGCTTGTTAAGTGAGAAGTGGAGAAGCCGTGCTGCTTCCTCCCTAACAGATGGCTGCTTGTGTTTCTTGCAGAAGAACTGAAAGAACATTTGCTGGGAGAGAATGCCATCGACAGGGTCTTCACCTTGGGCAATTCCGAGTATCCTGTCAGCTGGGACAATGAGGTCAAACTGTGGACATTTCTTGAAGATCGGGCCTCGCTTCTTTTAAAAACCTACAAGACCACCATTGAGGTAATTAGATTGCATAGACGAGGATCCGAGCTTTGTCACGTTGTTAAGGATTTCTGAGAAGAGACTCCTTCCTAAATGTAAATGACTTTCTGTAGCAGAATCATTGGCGATCTGATCTTTGTCATTCAGCTTACTGAGACTTTTCTGTTTGCCGTATGTGTACTTACCAAAAGAATCGCACTGAGGTACTGTTGATGAGAAGACAAAGTTGAAAAATTTTTCAACACTTTCCTGTAATTCTGAGTTTTCATTTGGGCTTTTAAAGCTAACCTTCGCATCGCTAACTTCACGTTCATCCAGCCAGGTGCCGAGCCCTGGGCCGTCCGTGCACAGGACAGGCAACACTTTTTAAAATCAGCAGAGTTCTCTGTCCGATGTGGTGGAGCACATCTGACTGAGGCTCACCGTTTTCATCTTAGGGTCATCTTACCGGGTGGAATGTAAACACAATTCAATCCACACTTCTAGAAGCCCCCAAGTCCCGCAGCTACCTCCACAGTCAAAGTCTAGAACCTTCTGTCACCCCTGACACCTCCCTCACGCCCCCATCCCTGGCAGCAGCTGATCTGCCTGCTGTCCCAGCGCCTTGGCCGATTGAGCCTCCTCAGAATTAATGCTGCTCTCTTTCGTTGGCCAGGAGGACAGGGCCTTCCTGAAGAGCCACAGCCTCTCCGTGCGTGCCACAATGGCCATCAAGCTGCGCTTAGGGGAAAAAGAGATTCTGGAAAAAGCGGTGAAGAGCGCGGCCGCCAATCGGGAGTACTACCGCAAGCAGATGGAGGCGGGGGCCCCGCTGCCCCGGTGTGAGGAGAGCGGCGCACCGGGCGCCAGGCTGCCCTTGGCCTTGCGGAGCCTGGAGGAGGAGGCGGGCACGCAGGAGGCCCTCACCCTGGCCGAGGCTGTGGGCCGGGCGAAGGCCGTGGAGAACGGGCTCCTGAACGGCGAGAACTCTATCCCCAACGGGACCGGGTCGGAGAAGGAGAATTTAAATGGGGAGGAAAGCAGAAGAGCAACGGAAGGCACCAAAGAATCTTCCTCAGACAGCGCGGAGGGCGCCCGGGAGCAGTAGCCCCACGCAGGTGCCGTCTGCGCCCCGGCCGGCTGAGCGGAAGTCTGTGGACCGTCCATTTGCATCGCCGCGCTGCCCTGTCCACGTTCTCTTTCTGCAGAGAGGAAAATGTGTTTTTGCTGCTTTATATAAAAATGATTTTTTTTTAAGTTATTTAAAAAAAATCTAGCTTCCCTTTTTGATTAAGATTGCCATCTTGCTTCCAGGCAAAACAGGCTGTCGGGCCTCGGCAACGGCAGAGGGGGAAGAGGTGCTGGGGGGCGTCCTGTGGACCCACTGCAGGCGCACGGGCTGTCTTCCCGGGGAGGGGTGCAGGTGTGACCTCCGCTGTGCCCGGGTGCGCCCGGCACCGTGACGCTGCCGCAGTGGTGGCCTCTCTGCCCCCTGCCGAGGGGGCGGGGGGACAGACGTGCTTGGGGTTTGGCAACTTGAGGGTCTGGGCGACACCTTTTTTGGTTTATTTTTTTTTTCCCCTAAAATAACACCCCGGTACTGAAAGAAAAGTTAAGGTGGCAACCTTATTTTTAATAGTTTTAAATGTTGATGATAATCCCAATTATATAAATACACACACAGCCCTAGTGATTTCTAAAGATTTGTTTACCTTTTGTGTTTGGTTTTACTGTTATTAAGAACTTGCCCTTTCTCCTTGAATCACAGTAGGATATGCATCCTCCTCCTCATTTTACATGTTGGCTCTGATTTTAAAGTGGTGCGTTTGATTTCCTGCATCGGTCCCGGAGGGTCTGCGGCTGTGGCAGCGGGGCCTCAGCCCTGCGGGGCCGCGCGCAGCGAGGCGGCTTCCCGGCTCTTCTGGTTTTCACAAGCTAGAGATTTTCAAAGCTACACTTTTGAGTAAAAAGCCTTATTAAAAGGAAAATACGATTAATACTTTTGTCTCCTCCTTTTCTTCGAGCGGGACAGGCCCTTCGCACGGAGCTCCGATGCAAACCGCCATGCTTGCTTGCCCACGGAGCCGTTTGGAACCTGCCTGGTGCCGGGTGCTGGGCGTCCGGCTTGTCCGGGGGACCCAGAGATATGCAGTAGGCCTGGGGTCAGCAGCTTGCGAGGGGCCACCCCCTGACGCGGGCAGAGGAGCGCTTGAAGCCTTGGGGGAGGTGAAGGCTCTGGCTGGTGTCCCCAGACGAAGCTCTTGGGCTACAGGTCACCTGTCATCCTCAGCTACAGATGTTCACACCGTCTCTCAGGCCCTGCCTTTTAAGTTCTTGGGCAAAACGCCATGTAAACCACTGACCGGCCATCTCTGCAAACCCTGTCGCACACAGGTAGTGTTACAGATGTTCTCTGTGTCTCTCCTTGGAGCAGACTCTCTGCAGATAAATTGCTTAATTCTGCACTGAGGACACGTCACCGTGCAGGGCTCGGGGGGTCATTAAGTGCGAATGCCAGGTTTCGTCCTTCCCGTGCTTGGCCACCGTGATCAGTGCTGATGCCTAGAAGCCGCCTACGTTGTTACGCCCTCCCGTCCGGCCTACGAATAAGCTGCCTGTGATGGCGAACTCCCCCCTTTAGCCTTGCATCTGGCGCACGCTCCCGAAAGTATGACTAGGCTGTAAAACTTACATGGTCGTTTCCAAAAGGCAGAAGCACCGGGGTATTCGAAGCATCTTCTACTCTGGGTGGGGACGTCCCCAAGGTTAGAACTGTAATGACTAATTTCTCCATAGATACGTTTTCTCGTTGGTTTGAAAGCAAAGTCTAGTATCGAGGACCTCCTTGGAAAATCGCATGCAGTTCAGCTGTGCAGCAGTGGTGTGGGTCGGGAAACTTGTCAGAATATTTCCTGGAAAAGATACGAGTCCAGATGGCGCTCACGGGGCCCTGGGTTGGGAGCGGGGCTTCAAGCTCTGGTCCTCACAGCACTGCAGATGGATGTCGTCACCCCCCCCCCCCCCCCCCCCCCCCCCCCCCCCCCCCCCCCGCCAGGCCTGTCTCTTCACCGACTTGGAAGGTAATTCTCAAAAGTCCCTCTTAAAGGGGACCCTGAGGGGCTCAGCCTGTGAAGCATCTGACTTCAGCTTGGGTCCTAATCTCATGGTTTGTAGGTTTGAGTCCCTCATCGGGCTCTGAGCAGACAGCTTGGAGCCTGGAGTCTACTTGAGATTCTGTGTCTCCCTCCCTCTCTCTGCCCCTCCCCTGCTCATGCTTTGTCTGTCTGTCTCTCTCAAAAATAAACATTTAAGAAAAAAAAGTCCCTGCTTAAAAATTTGGAGACTATTCTGTCAATTAAATCCCCATTGACAGGTCTATTTGATAAGGTTATGGGACCAAAAAATGATTCTATAAATTAGGCTCCCGATCAAGGACAGTCTTTGCCTTTGTGACATGAAAATGGCGCTCGCAGGGACAGAGTGTCTCTCCGCAGGAGGAAGGGGCCTCTGTCGGGCGACATCTCTGTCCTGGGTTGGGTGGCCTTGCCCTGGATGGCAGCGGGACCGCAGCGCACACGGGTCCCCCTCCTGCCCCATCCCGGCGCTGCACACAGTGCTGGTCACAGACTCTCCGAGCCACATCTCAAGCATCAGAAAATTGAAGAAGTGATGGAATTGGCATTGAAGAGCCCTCATTGCCATCTGTCATGAAAATAGACCTTTCTCTCAAATCATTTTAAAGTTTACTTTCTTCTTAATGCTTTTGGATTGGAGGCTGTGCAGGCTAGTTGTTGGAAAAATGCCAGCCTTTGCTTCTGTTTCTTAGCTTTGTGTGTTATTTGTGTAAACACTTAGCAATTAGATTTCACCAGCCTAGAAAGACTACCCAGTTTTTCCTGCAAACTGGCAATTGATAGGTGACTTCCCCCAATAGTTTCTAGACTGGGCTCACTAAGAGATGTTTTTAAATTTATTTATTTTTTTTGATAGGGTAAGACATTAAAAATATTCTCTGGTTCCCCGTACAGTACACAGGGTTATGCTAAATTAAGACAGGGAATTAATTTTCTGCAAATCATTACTTACTGTATTCTTTGGTGATTAATATGTACATGTTAATTGGAGTGAAAGTACCAAAAACAAACAAAAACCAAAGTACCTGTGTCTTGAGCTTAGAACTAAAATCAGACTGTCTGTAAGGAAAATGAGTTGGAGTGGTGGCTAGATTGGGGGGTGAGTTTCAGAGAGCCCAGATCTTTAAGTGCTGTAACCATGGCGACGGGAAGAAGCTTTTTATGCGATATATTACGCCATGTTCGTATTATTGATCTGGCAAAATGAGCGTGTTCAGTCAGGTCTAGCCGATGCCCTGAGCCAAGATTGGGGCTCACTCGAATTTGAATGTCAATTTCAGGCAGTGTAGGGTGGAATCCCCATTAGGGGTCAGCCTACTGTTTGAATCCGCAGCACCTTACATAATGTATTCCTAAAATTCTCGGTGTAAATTGAATTTGAGGAACTGGAATTGTATTTAGATGCACTGGCGAATTTGTTATTTAAATGCAACTGCAGCACTGGTCCTGGGCACAGGCTGGGCTGCCAGGGGAGAGGCCATAATGTCCAGGCGCACAGGAGGGAGGGGTGGACCCAGTTAGGTCTCCGCAGAGGCCCAGCCTGGCCAGCAGGTCAGGAGGCCGGCGTCCCCCCCCCTCCCCGTGAGCCCCAAGGGAGGGAGCACTTTCTAACCCAGCCACAGTCTGGGAGGGAGGACTCGCAAGCACTGCTCAGGACCTGGACAGGCTGCCGGCCACCAGCACGGTGACAGCTGTAGAGAGGGTATTCTCAGCATCCGGGGTGCTCTGATGTGATGAATCACTTTGCAGAGCTGAGCGGGGAGGCCATCCACGGTGGCTAAGTGTGCATGTTCCGAACACAGATCTGGGACCTCCTGGCCACGGGACTTGGACATCTCTGTACCTTCCTGCAGGGCATCTGTGCTTCCTACCTCTCCAGGCTCTGGGCCGGCCACGTGAGATCACGATTTCCAAGCTTCCCGCACAGGATCCGTGCTCGCTAAGCATTCGGGAAATGTTAGTTCTTACCCACTCTCAGTACGCAGAGAATGTTCCTGGGGTCCGGGGGTAGCAAAATGATCCCAGCTCTGCAGGCAGGTGGCTTGGAGTGTGCACTGAGCAACTTCAGACCTGGACCAAGTGACAGTTGTATCCCTGGTGCGATGCCAGGTTCCGTGGGTCATTCTGGTTCCTATGAAACCCTTGCTGCCCTCCGGGTGGTGAGGCGGCCACTTGAACCAATAACCCGGGCGGACCACGCCACGTGTCATTGGAGGGGGTGGGACTGACTGGAGGGAAGGGAGGTGCGGGAGGATGGGCCTCTGACGGGCTTTCAGGGCGCCGTCTGTGGGCAGTGGGGTGGGGCCCGGAGAGCCAGAAGCGCCTGCCTCCTGGAGAAGGGTCCTGTGGGAGACAGTCCCGAACACTGCGTCCGGCTCCCGCGAGGAGAACTCGGGGAGGGGGGTGACCTACCTTGTACCGAGGAAGCTTCTTTAGGTGGAAAAATGTAGCGATCACCAGCGTCCTGAAACACAAATGCCACCGTTGGTGTTTCCCTTAGAAACAAGATAAAAAGGCAGACAAGTCCGTGTTCGCGGTCCTTAGCATGGCTTGTGGAGCTTGGAACGTCGTCACACCTACGAGCTCCCACTCCCACAGACCTGCGTGAGAGCGTGTGTCCATACAGTTTGTGTAAATGTGCACGTGCGCACATGTGCATGTGCTTGCGTGTATGGCACTCCGTCAAAACTCGGATCCTTAGATCCAGGCAACAGAGAGTGCCGGGCACGGCCGAGCCCGCCGCCCCGCTGAGGGCACGCCCCCTCCCTCCCGGGGCCGGGCTGGCATGAAATCTCAGCCTTGCCCCCTGCTGCCCTGCCTTGTGCCCTGGCCCCTGCAGCGTGTTGCAGGAGAAGAGGACCACGTTGTGGCTTGAACCTCAGAGCATCCTCTCCCCTCCTAGAACGTGGTTCTGGAAAAGCTACTTTTAGGATGACGAGGGACCGCTTTAATCGGAGCGCCCGTCAGAGTGGCTGCTCTCGGGGCCGCACACCCCGGGTGGGGGGTTCTTCTGGTGCCCTGTTGCTCGCTTTCCAGAGTGCGCCAGGGCATTCCCGCCCCCCGCCAGGTCTCCCAGACTCACACGCTCTCCACCCTTCACACATGCGAAATCTGCTTTCCTGAAAAGTAGCTGATGAGCAAAGTCACGCCCAAGTGTGAATGCAGGAGAGACCCCGCCTTCTTCAGGGGGATTTGCATTTGGACCTTCAGCCAAGGGTTTGGCCCCAGAAGAGCCTGTCCAGAAGACAGGGTCAGGGTCAGGGTCAGGCTCCGACACCAGGCAGAGCTAAGGTGAATCCTGATCACTCCTCCCCCTCCCCCACCCCTGCTCTGGCCCCGTGGCGGGTTTCTTGATGCTCAAGGCCTTGATTTTCTCTTTTTTCTAATTTTATTTTTTTTAATGTTTTATTTATTTCTGAGAGAGAAGCGAGAAAGAGAGACAGTGTGAGCAGAGAAGGGTCAGAGAGAGAGGGAGACACAGAATCTGAAACAGCCTCCAGGCTCTGAGCTCAGCACAGAGCCTGATGCGGGGCTCAAACTCACAAACCATGAGATTGTGACAGGAGCCGAAGTTGGACATTCAACCGACCGAGCCACCCAGGTGCCCAAGGCCTTGATTTTCCTATCTGCAAAGTGGGATAACCGTGAGGTTCTGGGAGGAGGGGTTCTGGCGTGATTCTCAAGAAACGGTCCCCGGCCTTACCGAGACCCACGGCAGAGAGCCCGTGAACTAAACCAGCAGGAGGACGCCAGGCTCTGGGCCCTGAGGGAGCAGGTCCTGCGTGGACACGAAGGCTGCCATCAGCCGCGCAGTCACAGGAGACGGACCTCGTTCCGTGGCCACTGTCGTGGCGGCCAGGTGCTC